AAACAAAACAAAAAAAAAGAACTAGAAAATCAATAGTTATAGTTATGAAAACCTTTTCTTTTGACTTCATATTATTCAACTTGGATTTTTTTCTTACTAAATGAAATTATCACAAAATAAAGTTCAAATAAAACAACTAAATATTTAAAAAATATGTAAAAATCTAAACTACATTAAAAAAAACAAAAACCCACCTGGCTGTTTGACTTTTTTATTAGACAACAAATTTAAAGGATCGTCAACTTTGTTTTGGGTGTGAGCAAAAATTTTCTGTTTACCATTATTTTTTTGTTCTTCATAACAATTTGATATTTCAAGAAGTTTTTTTTTTCTGTGTGTTTTTTTTAATATAATTGACTCGTCAATATCTTCATTAAAAAATTTTTCATTATTTATGGAACTAAATTGCAAAGATTCCTTTTCATTGTTTTTATTAATTGGGTTGTTGTTTAACAGAGAATCATTAGGATTGTTGTTAAACAGAGAATCATTAGGGATATTTTCCTTCGCTTTTATTTTTATATTTGATACAACTGGAGGAGAAAAACAAATATCCTCTTCAAAATCATCAATATAGTCTATAAGACTGTCTGTAATAACTAATGAACGTTTATCTGTCTTTTTTTTTACATTAGTGTAGTTCATTAATGTAGGAGGGGTATTTTCTTGATCATTCGGTTTTTTCGATTCTGTATTATCATAATTTAAATCATTAGGTGCACAAGGTATTAAATTATTTACAATAACCTTATCATTAAAGTCCATTTTTTCAGAATCAAAACTATTGAAATTCATATCGTTGGGTGCATCAGATATGTCTTTCACAACCATCCTGCCACTGATTTTTTCAGAATAAAGGCTATCGAAATTCATATCATTAGGTGCATTAGGTATTAAGTCTTCTATAACCATCCTGTCAGTAGTTTTTCCTGAATCAAAACTATCAAAATTCATATCATTGGGTGCATCAGGTATTAAATCTTTTATAACCGTCCTGTCAGTAGTTTTTTCTGAATCAAAACTATCAAAATTCATATCATTAGGTGCATTAGGTATTAAGTCTTCTATAACCATCCTGTCAGTAGTTTTTTCTGAATCAAAACTATCAAAATGCATATCATTGGGTGCATCAGGTATTAAATCATTCACAACCATTCTTTCACTAAAGTTAGTTGTTTCAAAACTCTTCAGATGATCAATCCATGTTGGACTCAATGGAATAGTAGAGAGAATAGAAGAACTAAAATTTGTTAAATCTTGAAACTTATTGTTTACTGTATTAAGTGCGTTTGAACATGGATTTGTCTCGTTAACACTAACAGACTTAGTTACAATATTTTCATTTTTTAGTAACTCTGTACCATTCCTTTTTTGCTTGCATCTATCATAAAGAGTTGGCATTGTCTCTTGACTACAGAAACCAACTTGATTGTCCTTAATATCAAAATCAATTTTATTTACTTGAACTTTTGGTAACTTAAGCAGATTAATCTTCTTTTTTTTAGATAAAATTTTTTCGCTACTTTTTAGAAGCTCTTCCATAGGGCAAGGCTTAAAGCTATCCTCATTGTTTATAACTTTTACATCAGTGTTGCTTGGATTTCCATTTCTGTTCACACCGTCACTAATACTTTTTTTCTTTTTTTTTTTTGATAATAAAACTGGCTTGATATCACTCATTTCAAAATCACTGTCATCAATGCTAAACACTTCAACCATTTGAGCATTAAAACTGAAGTTAACTTTTTTATCCAAATTGTTATTAACACTTATATTGGCTATATCTTTAATTACATCATTACTATTGTTCAATAATTTTAAATTTTTTGCATTGTAATTCAATAAAAAATCACTGTCTCTACATTCATTTGCAAATTGCATTATGGAGCACAATGCGTTTGTACTTTTTGAATGACGAATATTTGAAACTGTTTGAGGAGTAGATAGCCATGGCAACCAAGAAGAAGTTGATAACTTTTTATAAGAAAGATGATGGCAGTAGACTGACTGCAAATTTTTGCATTTACTACAGCTTGTGGAATCACCATAAAATTTCTCTGTTAGATATTTAACTTCATTGGTATTAAGATATTTAAAATTCAATCCTTTCTTGCATGAGACAGAGGTTGAAGTTTTTTTTGAAACAGATTTCTTGCTATTATTTCTGAAAAAATTAATAAAGACCTCTAGATAAGTATTAGAAATAATATATATATATATATATATATATATATATATATATATATATATATATATATATACATATATATATATATATATATATATATATATATATATATATATATATATATATATATATATATATATATATATATATATATATATATATATATATATATATATATATATATATCAAGGGCTATTCTAGAAAATAATTTGGGCAGCAGTACCCCCTGACCCAGTGAAATTTAGCTGAAATATTGCCAAATTATTTGCCAAATGTATCCTTAAAAAAAAAAGTACTCACAGTTTAGAACAGCCTCTATATATATATGAAGTCGGCAAATTATCGACGACCTCATTTTTTGTATATACATGCTATATACCATACTATATACATATAGTATAGTATATATAGCATTGTATATATTAAAGTAAAAACAAAAAGTAAATGTACAATTAAATAAGTGTAAACTAATATAATGTGTTATAAACAAAAACAACAGCAAATGGTATTTCATTCTTTGATAAAATAATAAAATGCTTTTGTCTTATGATGTTATGTAATGATGATAATGAACATAATGCACAAACTCATACATATAAACATATATCAATATAATTTATATTTATTTTAATTTAACTTAACACCTACTTATACTCTCTAATAAATCAATACTTAATACATACAAATTCAATAGTAATAAAATACTAAATATATACGTACTTAATAGTAAATACTAGTACTGTTACTTATATAAACAGCTTTAAATTATTATTATGACATGGCATATTTTATTTATACAGCAGGATGTTTTGTATTTTTTAAAAAAATTAAATTAGAGCAGTTTTCAAAATTGTAGCGTTTAGAAAAATTAAGTCATTTTAAATATTTGCAGAACTAATTTTTTTTTTTTAATTTAAAAAGTTTACATAAGTTGTATCTATTCATAAATTTAACTCTGCAAGAAAAAGTTTGAAAGAAAAAGATGCAGCAATGATGTACTTGATTAATTTTTATGGTTTGAAATAAAAGAGTAACAAAACCAGACTTTATTTTAAAATTTAGAACTTAAGTAAACAAACATATTTTAAAAAACATTAAGATCATATAAATTTTACCACTAAAATAAAAATATTTATATTTCTATAATAATTTAAAGAATTTATTATTAGGTTTACCCAAGTTTTTTTTTTTTAAGAGTTTTTCAGGCTCAACTACTACTTTGTCTGTAGAAATAATTCTTTCATTTTTAAAATATGAACTAAAAATTCTTCCAGCAAGTTTTTTCCCAGTTTTCTTATGCATGGAGCAAGTAAAGATCCAAAGATTCATCTAAAAAAAGTTTTTTAATAGTTTTCTTTTGCATGGAGCAAGTAAAGATCTAGTATTCCATTGAGTAAAGGATGTGCAAAAAAAAAAAAAAAAAAAAAAATTATAGCAAAAGAATACTAAGTAAAGTGATATCAAAAGAATACTAAGAAAATGATTAGGTTTGCTTTAATCAATACTAGCACAAAATAAAAACTCTTTTGTACTAAATCGTTTTTTAGCATCTTTGCAATATATCAAAAAATATGTACATTAGGGTTATGACTTTTTGACTTTTAAAAAAAAATTAATTTCCTGTGTCATAAATTGATGAACTTGAAAACATGTTCAATTCCTCTCAGTTGTTAAAAAAGATCACCCTGCATTTCAAATTACATTTCGCCATTTAATTAATTTGTTACTGCTACTACTAATATGTGTGGCTTTCATGCAAATCATTTAAAACTTGTATAGATTAGAAGTGTTAATAACTTTAGAACTTTTTGGAAAATAACAGAATATTTTAGAAGAATTTAGAACATTCTAGAACAATTTAAAACATTCTGGAACAATTTAGAACATTCTAGAACAATTTAAAATATTATGGAACATTCTAGAACATCTTAGAACATTCTGGAATATACTAGAACATTTTAGACTATATATAGCTGCTTATCTAATTTTATAGTTATTAAAGAAGCAACACATGGCGTCGTACAAGCCTAGCAATAGTAGAATTCAGAAGAACAAGGATATCTGGACCAATAATCTGGTAAAATTTGAAGACTTTCATAAAAGAAGAATGGTCCCTTTGGAAAAATATTCACTGGAAGAAAAGTGCAGAATGTCTTTCCAAAAACAAATTATCAGATGCTACCATTTCTTTGGCCCAAAAATCAAAGGAAGAAAGAAGCGAATAGCGGAAATTTCCAAAGAAGTCACCAAATTGTGGAAGAATAAACTGAACTTTCCTCACAATCTGATCAAGTTATACGAGCAAAGTTTGATCAAATACAGAAATGTTATGTTGTGTCAAGTGAGGAAGCTACAAACCCCTTGATAAAATTTTTGATATTAATATAGTGGATGGAACATGGTTATCTTCCAAGGACAAGCAATTGTACCATCTTTAAGTGGAAAACAAAGGAACAGTGGGATACTCTACAGGTCAAGCGGCCAGTAAAGAACATAGATTAATATTTGACTTTATGAAAATCCCGGAAATTTTTTTCTATGAAAATCCCGCAAAATTATTTTATTAAAAATCGATGGTAATAATAGACAAAACTTTTGTAAACTTTTAAAACGGAATTTAGACTATTTAACTTTTTACAAAAAAGAATTTCTAATATTCGAAAAAGTTAAGTTGAATGAATTAAAAAGCAAAAAAATTGTTACAAAAATTTATCTCATGAAAATTTTAATTATAGAAAACATATTTGTTTAAATGCAAAAGTTATCGTATTTAAAATTTCATGTAAAAATATATAATTTATTTTCAAATTTTTAACAAAAAAAATCTGGAAATTTCTGGAAAATTAAAGGAGTTTTAAGTGAATTTCCAGAAATCTGGGAATTCCCGGAAAAAACTCATCTATGAATGAAACAATCCATCCCTCTAAAAGACAATAACTTTCTAATGAGTCATCCAACTTATTATCTTACTATCCTGGTTTTAGCGATTCTGACTCTGAGGCTGACGACAGTGAATATGAAAACAATGAAGAAGAAGGTGAGATAACTCCTACACCAAGCAGAAAACATCATAAAAGATACATTAATCATCCAAGTAAACAATGATATTTTTGAGCAGTTAAAGAAAAAATAATCAAATGACTTATAATTTTCTATTTGGAGAAACTTAAGCAACTGTCTATTGTCAGGTCAGGAGTATGGTCTTCATGATCATCCTGCTACTGGTAACATGTAACCTAGTGCAACCTGTTCCATGTTCTGCTGCCTTGCAGGATTTGCTATCTAAGCAAAGGCTGGAAGGAGTGTTCTTCCTGTCATCAGTACTATCTTATATCAGTCATGCCTATAGTAATTTTTTTTTTTTTTTTTTCCCCAATATAGTTGGAGGTGCCTTAGTTACTGTATTAGCTCACCTGTAATCTACGTTATATATATGTTTGTGTTCTGTCTGAACCTCTGGCGCAGTGTTCGCTCACCCGTAAGTTACTTTATGTTCTTTATGTATGTCTGTGTTCTGTCTGAACCTCTGGCGCGGTGTTCGCTCACCCGTAAGTTACTTTATGTTTATGTTTATGTTTTTTATGTTTTTTTTATGTATGTTTGTGTTCTGTCTGAACCTCTGGCGCGGTGTTGACTCACCCGTAAGTTGATTTATGTTTGTTTGTGTTCTGTTTATACTCTAATGCAGCGTGAGCTTAGTAACTAACTACTTACTCCAACTACAAAACATACACTCACCTTAGACTCCTGTATTTTGTTAGATGCAGTGTTTTTCCTAATGCACTTCCAAAATGTCATGCCTGGTTTTCTCAAAGTACTGTTGCGGGAAGTAACTCCTTTTAACTACTCCAGGTCAGGTCAGGATAATCGAGATCAATCTTGCTACTGGCATCACGTAACCCAGTACCACCTGCTACAAGCCCTGCTGCCTTGCAGAGTGTGCTCTTCTTAAGCAAAGGCTTGGAGAAATAAACTCCGACTAAAAATTCCCCTGCCTTGGGGCTCTTGGTTGAGTAAAGGCTAGAGATGGTGTCTCGATAAAAACACTCATCTTGGGCAGATGTTAACTGCATCCAGCTAAACATCCCCTGCCTTAGGGCTCTTGGTTGAGTAAAGGCTAGAGATGGTGTCTCGATAAAAATACTCATCTTGGGCAGATGTTAACTGCATCCTACTACTGTCTTGTAGAAGGCCTCCTAGGCAAAGATTTTAGAGGTAAGCAGAAAAGTTCTGCTAACCAGCCTCGAACCCCTACTTCATCTATTAGGCTGGCGTAGATGTAACCTGTGTTACATTGTTTCCTGCCTAGGATGATGAATGCTGGATCTCCTTGACTCTACTCATAGAATTTTGCTTATGCCTCCTTGATAATGGCTATGCACCTCTTCCTGTTATCTCCATATGAGGGTACAGCTCTAAAACTCAGTTTAATGGTTCTGAGGCCAGCTGGTAGTAAGGTTTCCCGAACTCTGTGTTAGCTCTCAGAGAGGCTAATTCCATCAACAGCTGCAAAATATCAGAGTATTAACAGTGCCATGTTGCGCATGGATGGTGTCCCTGTTAATGCTTTTGGTGTGCATTGTCTAGGCCACATAAGGAGCCCTATGTCACGGCCTAGGGTTAAAACCTAAAAAACCATCCCCACCACCTAAATATTTTAATATATCTTTTAAAAATACTTGCGGTCTACGAAGCAACTTTCCATCAGTTGAGTCTTACCTCCTGCAAAATTCACCAGACTTGCTTGCACTCAGTGAAATAAATTTAAGTTCTGCAATTCCTTCTTCAGATGTCAGTGTTGATGGGTACTATCCTTTGATTCGTAAAGACTCCAATAGTCACATGCTAGGTTTAGGGGTATACATACGCATTAATTCCCCTATTTGTCGTGAAATCAGGTTCGAATCCTTTGACCATTCTTTTATGTGCTTTCGCCTAGCACCTCTTCACTCTATCACCTTTCTCTTTGTTCTTTA